TAGAACGTTAATGTTGAATTTTGAATTAGATGCCGATAAACTTCATTCATTCCAACTTTTCTTTTTAGTGAGATAACACATAAATGATTGTATGTATAGATATGTTTCCCATAAGGCTGGGAGGAATTGTGTTTTTTATTCAAACAGTAATTAGCAGACTTTTATTTAATATATTTCTCAAGCATTAAAAGTCAAGCTTAATATTGTTCTATCTTTATAGACATGATCTGAAGTCACTGGAAAGGAGAACTTATTGCAATTCTCAATGAAAAACACAAAAAGAGAAAAAAAAATTCTAGTTTGTTTCTTAAGTTTCTTAAGCAATACTGGCAAATATTTATTTATTTTCAAGGTGTGTTGAAATTTTCAGCACTTGAAAAAGAAGCTAATACTTGTATAGCGTGCATGATGGGTATTTCTTATGTATTAAAGCTTTGTAATGAACAATGGAATACTCTTCAGCCATAAAAAAATAATGAACTCTTGTCATTTGCAGCAACATGGGTGAGTCTGGAGGACATTATGTTAAGTGAAATACGCCAGGCACAGAAAGATAAATATTACGTGTTCTCACTCACATGTGGAACCTAAATAAGTTGATTTCATGGAAGTACAGAGTAAAACAGTGATTACTAGAGGCTGGCAAGAGTAGGGGGATGGTGGGATAGAGAGAAGTTGGTTAACAGGTACAAAATTACAACTATGTAGGAGGAATAAGATCTAGTGTCCTATGACACTGTAGGGTGACTATACTTAACAAGATTTTATTCTATATTTTCACATAGCTAGAAGAAAGGATTTTGAATGTTCTTAACAAAAATAATAATTGTTTGAGGTGATAGATATACTAATTACCCTGATTTGATCATTACAGGTTGTATACAGGTATTAAAATTTCATACTGTACCCCATAAATATGTATAATTTTTATTTATCAACTAAAAATAATTTTTAAAAAACTTCATAATGAAAGGAACTGCATAGTTTCTCTTTAATAAGTAAGTAGGTATGATGAATTACTCAGCACCTGACCTGCCTTGGATTTATAAGTGCTGACTTATATGTAGATTGCTCTTTTGCCAAGTAGCAAATATTTTATTTGACAATTAATTTGAAAGTTTAAATTCTTGCTAATATCATCATGTTAATTCCATAAAATGAAAACACTCAACTTCTTGGTAAACATGATATGAGAACAGGTGACAGTTTTACAAATTCAGATTAATGCAAATAACTAGTTTTAGTAAATTCAACTTCTGATTTTACCAACTTTTCATAAAAATTAAATCATACAATGCATTGGCTTCTAGATATTTCATTTTATGTACTTTTCTGTTAACCATTATACAATGTAAACATTTTCTGTGGTTCTTTACTATTTTTTCCCTAATACTCCCTCCTCCTCTCCCTTTCCTACCTATATGTTTAGATATTAAAATCTTATGAAGTGTTTATGACAAAAAATTCACAAAAATATGTTTATTCCTAAGCATCAAAGAATTAATCAAATGAATATAGAACAATAGTTTACAGTTTTCTTCATTGATTGGATTTAAGAAATGTTTATAATCACAAATATATGCATACAAAAATACATACCTGACATATGTTTAGGTAATTCAACTAATTGGAATGTCTTAATATCAGATCTAATACAGATTGAAAAAAAATTCTTATATTGTGATGATTTAATAGCATAGTGAAAAACTAACACAGTAAGTCAATTTTTAAAATCTATTTTGTGTTTAGATATTCAGAAATTAATCAGAATGTTTATTTTTGAGAACATACAATCTCTCCATCAAAGAGTAGTAAAATCAATACAAAGTTAGGAAGGAAGAAAAGACCGCAATAATGCAGTGAACTTTCAGAAAGAGAAATCAAACCTAAAGATATTTTAATATTTTTATACTTTTGTACTTTTACCATTTAATTATAAAACTTGATATCCACCTGCAAAAAAAAAAAATGTTTCACCATGGATAGAAATCAACTCGAAAGGGATTAAATACCTACATATAAGACCTGAAGCCATAAAACTTTTGAGAAGAAAACATATAAAAAAATTCCATGACATTGGTTTTGGAAATTATTTATTTTGGCTATGACACCAAAAGCATAGGTAACAATTGCAAAAGTAAACAAGTGAAACTACATCAAACTGAAGTTTCTGCACACCAAAGGAAACAATCAACAACATGAAAAGGAAACCCATAGAATAGAAGAAAAAATTTATCCAATAAGAGGTTAATTTCCAAAATATATAAGAAAGTCTTCCAAGTCAGTAGCAAAAAGAAAAACAATAGCCTTATTAAAGTCATGTTTATACTAAAAAAAAAATCAATACAAAGTTACAAAAATCAAAATTTTAATACATGTAATATTAAGGAAAATTTTTCAAATTTCACTGTCATACGATTTCTAATGTTTTAATTAGTTTTTTGGTTATATTGTTTAAAAAAAAAGAATAAAACTAAATGAGAGGAAAACTAGTCTGAAATAAAATAAAATTAAAACTGTAGACTTCATTCAGAAATTTATTTTTAATTACAACTTCAAACAGTAGTCGAAATTAGTTTGTTGCCAGTAGTACAGAGCAGCCTTAAAAAAGAAATAATGATATTTGGAGTATAAATGGATATTCCTAACTATTAAATATACTACCTTTACTATTGCTTTCACAAAATAAAGTAATTCCTAAAACATAGCTACTGAAAGAAAAGCTCCATATATTCTTAAATTAATATATTCCTAAATTAGTGGGATTGGAATTTATAAAGAAACATTGTATTTGACTTTTTAAAAAGTTGCATGTTTCAGCATCATTTAGAATTGGCAGAAATCAGATGGAGTGTTTGTATTGCCTGGGTCAAGAATGCTTTACTTTTATTCCACTGAAAATAATATTGCAGGTGTCAGTCACACATACACATCTGTAGCACGCACCTTAGAAACCCTGGTGGAACGCTTGTAACAATGCCTGTGACATAGTAGTATCTTTGAATCTTCCTTATTTTATCTTAAAAAATGAAATAATTTGCAGTTATTACTATTTAATAATTATTGGTAAATAAAATCATTTGCGAGCTACCTCGCAATTAATAGCCACACACAAGATAGAAAAATATAAGCGTAGCAGTTTTATTTTTAGTTCAAGCCACAGAGGTTGAATTTAGTTTTCATGTTCACTCTTGTGAATCTGTGAAAGCAGTGCAGTTGCTGCGATTGCGGCAGTGGGGTCAGACTGTCCTGGTGGAATGCTCGGTGAAGTACTCTATAAAAGTAGAGAGAACATTTTAAACATACAATTGCAATGTTTCAAAAACTGGCCATGTCTAAAGAACTACCTGGGCTGCTTGTTAAATATAGATTCCTGGACCAAGACAGTATTTAGAATTTTCAGAGCAGAGGCCTGGCAATCTGCATTTTCCTCATGAAACCAAGGTGATCAGGCTGTTGATGTTAGTGTTGTCACTCTCGGCAGACCTGCTAATCTTAGTTGAAGCCTTCAGTTACCATCCTATTGGTATTTTTTCTCGTTCTTATTGAGTACCTAACATGTAGCTTATACCTTAGTGGGCACTACAGATGCATAGATAACACATGAGTCTTACCTAGTTGACAATCTAGTTTATAGTACTCTTTTGTTGCAACAAATTTGCAATATCTTTTAAAAGCCATTGCCTTTGATTGCAGGGTAGATGCACCTTGGCATACCACACTAAATCCTGGAACACAATATGAATCAGTCTCAGGCCAAAATCGGAACACATGATGTTGTATTCTTATTCCTTTGTACTCTTCATAAAAGCATTTTTTCCCGTTTTTTTGTTTTGGTGAGGACACTATGCTGTATGCATGACACAGGGCTGCCTATTTAATATTTCTCCCTACACCTCTGCTTTTTGTTATGCCATTTTATTTTTTTCTACTGTTCTTCCATCTCTTTTTATAATATACACAAATAGTGGTTTGAATACTGAATTATTATGTGGTCTTTTACAAACTAATTAAAAATAACTATGAAATTGGGACTATGGGATATTATTTTATTGAATTTATTTTATAATTAATTATTTATTGATACAGTCCAGTATCATTATTTAGTCTAGTTGTAAAATGTAATTACTAGTGTATCCAAGGTGGTTTACTGCTGCTTAATGCCATCATTTTGAAATAGCATTTTGACATAATGATTACTCCATCTCCCATATTTGGATTTTCTTCCTTAATTTGTGGATAAATTATTCTTCTTTCTGTAGAGAAATTGATTTGGGAACATGTTATTTATGTAAGAAATAAAATATCACATGGTCAAGTCTGAAGATAAGATGATAAGAGCAACAGAATATAATTGATGAGGTGGTTGCAACTATTTATTTTCATCAAACGATAGCACTAATTATTTTTCCATTGCTTACAAAATATGATAATTTATGGATAGTTTGATAATGAAATGTTTTATTTTATTTTTAGTTTGAACATGCTGAGGATTGTCAGGTTTTCCTTTTGGAATTTGGCTTCTCTTTGAAGCAACTTGTGTGTAATTTACTAGCATTCAGTCTTTAAAAAACAAGATGAAAAAACTATGAATGGTAAATCGAATATTTAACGTTATCATCTTTTATAAATAATGAACTCAGGATATGAAATAAATTTCTCAGTGATACTTTTTTCCTATCATTAGTGGGTTATGAATGACTATAGTATAAAATAAGAAACTATCATACATGTAACTTAATTTTGATTTGTGTGCTTTTTAATGGACTTTGATTCTAGGAAATATGTTTATATAAAATCTGTGTGTTGTGTGTAATGGCCATTATTGTCCAGCCACTATCCTTGTAAAGCTAAATTTGGTTTAGTGGGCTGAGCGTTATGACTTAGATCCTTAAGTTAGTTTTGGCGCACTAATCTCATTTACTTTTTGGAGCCTATGAATGAACACTTTCAACATAATTACTAAACGTTTTCATCCTTTTTCTCTTCTTGTGTTATAGAAACCCTTGAAACTCTCATCAGACAAGCAGAAAATTACACCAGTATACTTTTTTGCAACACCTATAGGAACATGGCCTTGGAGGCTGCTGCTTCAGTTCAGGAGTTCTTCACTGATGTAGGGCTTTATTTATTTGGTGCAGATGTTAATCATGAAGAATTTGTAAACAGATTTTTTGACAGTCTTTTTCCTCTGGTCTACAACCATCTTATTAACCCTGGTGTGACTGACAGTTCCCTGGAATACTCAGAATGCATCCGGGTGGCCCGCCGGGACATTAGTCCATTTGGTAATATTCCCAAAAGAGTAATGGGGCAGATGGGGCGGGCACTGCTGCCCAGCCGCACGTTTCTGCAGGCACTCAATCTGGGCATTGAGGTCATCAACACCACAGACCACCTGCATTTCTCCAAAGAGTGCAGCAGAGCCCTCCTGAGGATGCAGTACTGCCCTCACTGCCAGGGCCTGACTCTCAGCAAGCCTTGCATGGGCTACTGCCTCAGCGTTGTAGGAGGCTGTCTGGCGCACATGGCAGAGATTAATCCACACTGGCATGCCTATATCCGGTCACTGGAAGAACTGTCTGATGCAATGCAGGGAACGTATGACATTGAACACGTGCTCTTGAACTTCCACTTGCTTGTTAATGATGCTGTGATGCAGGCTCACCTCAATGGACAAAAATTATCAGAACAGGTAAGCAGCCACTTCATGTTTCCTATCTGATTTTTTAGAATTCAAAGATTAGCCTCTCTCTCTCTCTCTCTCTCTCTCTCTATACATATATATATATTATAAAGATATACATATACATATAGACATCGACGTAGACATAGATGTAGATTTAGATGTAGACATAGACATAAACACAGAAATATCCATGAAGTTAAAGCTGGATAGCTTGGTTTTAAAAAGTGAGACTTCAGAGACTCTCCAGAATTTGTCACAGTGATGATATGGTGTTGCTTTGCCTCCCACGGATTTGTCACCCAGCTTCCCCTGGGTGATGGAGCCACAAAGGATTATTCAAAGCCCATCTCTTCTGAACAGTGAGAAGCCCTGAAGGGGTTAATCTCCCAGGATTCTCAAGAGCGAGGCATTCCTTCCTTGGGAAATTAACCAAGAACGGGGGTTCTAGCCCTGCATTTATTCTCCAGACCAGGAAGTTACAGGAAAAGAACACAGGTGGGGTTATTGTTTAACTATATAGGCTGGTAACATCAGTCAAACAAGGAAAGTGACATTCCATAATGCACTTTGCAAGAGGTTAAGTTGATCCATCAACAAAAGCTTGGTCTTAGCAAACATTCTCTCTCCCTACAGCAATTTCCCAGTGTCTTTACATATTAATCAGTACCTTGTCTGTCCTTGGGCCAGCAACCTTGCTGTGCTACAATTCTTTATCTTACAACAGAGACTATAGGCTGGGGAAATTTTCCTGTCTTTTGCAAGGTTATCATTTTATATGTACTTTTAAGAAGTTAGGCTAAACATGAAAGTACAAGAAAGTAGGCCCTGTGAAATATATTTGCTTTATAGTATACTCCACAGTATGGTGTTTTTTAAAATGTGGTATGTACACTGTCATGGTGCTTTATTCCTGGTAGACTAAGACATTTTTGAAACAAAATCATCAAATCAAAGTATGTGAGAGTTTTCTATTTCTCCCACCTTCTACAGAGCCATTTTCTTAAATATTCACAGGCTCCCTTAGAGATAGTTCTCATATCCCATACAGTGAAGTAAGACAAGCTGCTGATGGTTCTCCTGAATCTTTTCCCCTGAAATAAAATTATACTCTCCAGTGCCAATAAAATACACCTCCTTACCCTAGTATTAATTTACTGAATTAGTAAACACTCTCACCTAAAGATCTACATGCCAATTATTTTAATTAATTCCTGATAGAAATTGGATCTGAAAAGCTTTATGTCCAACCACTTCCTCCACTTCTCTTCCTAACACTCTGGATGTTTTCAGGGCTGTGTGAGCCTCTATGGTGCCTTTATGCAAATTAGAAATGGTGCCTCTGTAGGTAGATGCCAGACCATGTATTGGGTAGAGCTGGATTTTGACTCCAACTCTCTGCTCCACTCAGGTGGGTGTCCCTGTGTAGTGAACAAGTTTCCCAACTTGATGTAATGTCTCTGGTCTTTTTGTCCCTTCTCATCCCTTTATTAAAATCAGACATGGACCAGAACCTCTGCAAGGGATATAATAAACCAACTCAAATGAGGCACAAATGACTGCTGAGGTTTTAAGAATTTCATAGGTATGAGGAATAAACATTTAGATCTAGGAAACCAAATGTCTGTATTATGATATGCAAAAGGAAAAATAGGTACAAGAAAACTGAGACTGAGTCCAGAGTTAATTACATTTGGGGCATGACATTTAACATCCTAGGACCAGAGTATTTTAATATATGTAGGTGAATAGATTTTCAAGATCCTTTTTGTTATGTATTTTTGAGATCTAGAGGGCCTTTTTGTATTCTTAAAATCTATCATGTAGAAAATGAACTACTTTTCCTATTTCAAAGATTAATATAAACACATTAGTAGTAGACAGGCATGTTTACCTGTTCTGAGTTTGTTCCTCATTAGCCATGTGGCCTGGGCAAACTATTAAAACCCTTTGAGCCTGTTTTGTCCTGTGTGAAAAGGAAGAAATGATAATTCATGTGGGTTGATGTGGGTAAGACTCTGACATTGGTAGGCACTTGGGAGCCAGTGACCTTACTCTTTTCTTTCCCTCTCCTAGGGCAGGCCCTGAGCTGACCTTGGTGAAGCAGGTTACTATATATCTCAAAGTATTAGAATAAGGTTTGTGTTTTATAAATCAGAATTTTGCTTAAACTTTTATCCTGTGAAACTCCTTGATATGTTATCAAAGAGTAATCTTTTTTAAGCAAATAGTCTGATTATATATAATAGTCCTATGACTATAGCTATCTAGAGAAACATTAAATATTACTAATAAATTGTAGATTCTTTTCTAAATAAAACAACAGGATTCTCTCTTTTACTTATGGGAATGGAGTAAGAAGAAACTGACTAAATTTTTTGAAAATTGACTCATTAATATTTATTTTTTGCCAATATCGAAGTGATTATAAGCTTTTTATCAAGCTTTATAACCAGTTCACACGTTTATAAATTTAACAAATGCAAAATAAATTTCTAGAGAGCCTGCAAATAATAACTTTCTTACATTCCCAAAGCAATCTCTGCGATCTAGTACTTCCAAGTCTAGTCCTCACTAATACATATTTTCGCTTTAAAAAAATCCATAGAGGTACCTGATGTATAATACTTCTATTGGATGAATTTCAACGGAAAGGAAAAAAAACGTTCTCAGTTTCCTGAGAAAAATCATTAGTATCTTATATTTGTAAATCTTTAAAGAAACAAAAGCTAATTTACAAGAGTATTTTTAATTTTATAATTATTCTGTGGATTAAGTAAGACAAAACTCAATGTAATAAAGCAGAAACAGAGAGGCCACAGACAGTAGGGATTAAAATCAGTCTCTAGTGTCAGACTGGATTTCAGATCTGTCTCTACCACCTGCTCGATGTGAGTTTGTGCTTTTGACTATTTTCTCTCTCCTTGCTTCAGTTTTCTCTTTGGTTAAATGGGGAAACAGCAATACCTACGCAATAGAGTTCTTGTGAGAAGAAAATCAGTTTTAACACTTAGATTAAATTCTTGTATATTGTAAGTGTTTAAATCCTACTAATTATTATCACATTATATTATTTATGAGTAATTCATTGTTTTGTCTGGTGTTTTAAATGCTCCCAAAGTAAACACCCCTTTCTTTGGGTTGTAGAACTCAAAAATATATTAGTGGTTTAGGGCTCAAAAAAATTTCAAATGATCCGTTAATATAAACAAATAAATGTAAAGCTTTTCCTTAAATGAGAAAAACACTGGTGTTTTCAGTAAATATGCAAGTCTCGTGTTTTAATATTAACAGATGTAGGTAAGCAAATCACTCTCATGTAAATAAATCATTCTGTAAATAAAAGTCCAATATTTTTTGAAATTCTATTTGCTATTAATTGCATTTAGTGTATTATTTATTGTTATAATTTGACACATCAAAAGCACAGAACATACGGTCTGGATTAATCCCAGTGTTTCAACAAGTTCTGAGTGGAATAAATGTTACCAAGAAACTCAGCGGAACATTGATTCTACACAGTTTTAGAAACCAAAAGGTTTTGTTTGTTTGTTTGTTTGTTTTTCGTATGTAATGGAATCAGAAGCATAATTTCCAACAAGAGAATTCCCATTTTATTTTTTTCTTACAGATACTGTAATCTGTTTTTCACCTCTTTTATCTGTACGATATTAGTATATAAGTAGAGATACATCTGGTTGCATCCAAATTAATTCAGAATTGCAATATAATTTAATTCATGAAACGTATAAAAATTGAATTTAAGGTGAATAGTATGCACTCAGGGACTTTAATGAGCTGTTAAGAAAACCAAAATCTCATCACTGCCCTATACATAACAACGTTTATCTGAATCTGTAGAAAGCAAGCAAAGTAAATTTATTATTTTTTTAGGTGTTTCAACTATATATAAAAATTATAAAGAAAAATTAAAATAGTGGCATGGATTATTTAGGGCAAAGCACTAATTTTGTCCTTTTTCTTTTATAATGAGGTACACATTTTCTAAAGTATCAATATTTATGGAATTTTGCATAAATAGGGACTAAAGAATAAGTAAAGTTGGGGCAGAATATTCAAAATCTCAATATCCAAATTAACCCAATTAAACTACAATGCCATTATAATGTTAGATATTTTAAATTTAGTTATCTTAAATATAACCCGTTTTAAATATAAACCATGAACTTCACAAAAGCCATGAAGTCTCCTTAGTGGCTGTTAGTGTAGTGCAGTGTGGAGGCTTTGGGGTGATGAAGAAGAGGTGGCAGAGTGCGTACAGTTTTGGGGACCGTGACACTTTCACAAGCATAAAGGCTAATACGCCCTTCTCTCTAGAAAAATGATACATGCTGACACACAGGCACGTGCAGAATATTGCTTATAATTTCAGAGACATTTCAGCTCCTGTGATGCCACAGGCCCGAGGGTAAGAGCAACTTGTTTAAAGTAAGGATATCCTCAATTCTTAGGTGAAATATTGTGATACCAGAGTTGGTTCATAGCATTTTAGAGAAGAGAAGTTTAAATATGGCTGTAATTATTTTGAAACTAATGTAAGATACATAGAGTATGTTCTTGTGACCATGACACAGATCAGAATGTATAAACATGAGACAGATACGATATTGTAATGAATAAAATAAGCAGAATCTCTGGGGTTGCTCCAGGTTCCACAATACATAAAAAGCTGAGAAGGCATTATTTCTGAAACAGACTTTTTTAAAAAAGAGTTTTGATTCATGTACATATTTGTGCTTGTCTGTCACAGGTAGGCAGTGGTGACAAAAGGTTATACTTCAGCTATCTCATGGATAAAGTCTATGCGTGGTTGGACAAAACTTCACTGAAAATACATTCATAATGCGTTGGAAGATATTTTTACCTTTGCCTCATTTTTGTTTAACTTATGTATTAGGTTGATGTTGAGCTCATGATTAGTACATTGCTCAACTGAGCTGGCTCTTCTGAGAAATAGGACTAGAACTTGACAAAAGAACAGGGAAAAA